TATTTATGAACTACCCTTTATGAACAGTTAATGCAGCTACATTTGCAAGACAAAGCAACGTTTCTGTGCATGCGCGCATGGAGAAGCTATGTGGCCTTGGAAGACACAGGTGCTGTGCTCAGAAAGAAGTGCTCTTTGTGTGCGCACAACCACCTTTTGGGTTGCTTTGCAAAAGCCTAATAAATACAAGACATAAGGTCATGCCACAGAACTCTCCAAAAAGGGATTAGTTACTGTTCATAACTACCCATCTTTAGTCACTTCATGTTGTGTGCAAAGCCAACATGAAGTGGGAATGAATGAATTCCTTTCATTTTTTTTTCCAAAATAAAACAAAGCAAAGCTGTGCAATGCCCACTTTCTCCACCTTTGTCGATCTATGATTGCAACATTAAGTGGAGATTTCTCACTTCTCAATAAATGCGGGTATATATGTATGTTTGCCCAGAAGCGCAAGACGAAGACCAAAAACAACTTTAATGAATTGAATGAATTGGGTTATTAAGGTACTCTATTTATAAAATCAAATCCTAGCTGCATATAGCAACCATTCTCTTTCACACATAAGTCATCCTGATTAAACATGCTACACACACACACACACACACACACACACAGTTTCCCAGGAAGCAGCAAAAACAATACAAATCGGGATGTTTATGGGATAAGAGGAAGAGATTGCTGCATCAGGAAGGGAAGGGAAACCAAAGAAAAGTGGATGGAAATAAGAAGAAGAGCGAATGGGTCAGAAGAGGGGAGAGAAGAAAGATTGTATCAAAGCGTTCCAAAGTGTAGCATAAAGTCTGATAGTTATGCAATTCTCAAAGCAGCAAACAAACAAACAAATATAATCTGTGCCAGACAACATTTGATATTTGTCATCAATGTTAGTTATGAGATTATTCATGTCTAGTGTACCAGCGTGTGAGTGTGCCTTCGAGTCAATTTTTGACTCCTGGAGACTGTCTGGACTAGCCCTTCAGTCTTCTTGGCAAGGTTTTTCAGAATTAATTTGCCATTGCCGTCTTCTCCTTCTCCTTCTCCTTCTCCTTCTCCTTCTCCTTCTCCTTCTCCTTCTCCTTCTCCTTCTCCTTCTCCTTCTCCTTCTCCTTCTCCTTCTCCTTCTCCTTCTCCTTCTCCTTCTCCTTCTCCTTCTCCTTCTCCTTCTCCTTCTCCTTCTCCTTCTCCTTCTCCTTCTCCTTCTCCTTCTCCTTCTCCTTCTCCTTCTCCTTCCTAGGGCTGGGAGAGAGGGACTGGCCCAAGGTCACCTAGTTGGCTTCATGCCTAAGGCGGGACTGGAACTCACGGCCTCCTGGTTTCTAGCGTGGTGCCTCAACCAGTGCACCAAACTGGCTGTCTAGTGTACCATTAATCTTATTATACTAATGAATCATCTCAAACCTGGATTTGTGTTTGAATTACTATAACTGCAGGGGTGTGTGTGTGTGTGTGTGTGTGTGTAATAGGTAAAAACAATTTATTCAGAAAATACTAATTCCTGCATATACACTGCTTGTGGTATGACTCTGCATTTCTTGAAGGACTTCAGATGGCTAATTCACAAGTGTAATCTTGTTTCAATATTCAGATAATATATGGTCAAACTGGGAAAGATTTACTTCCTACTGCATATTGAATACCCTTTCCTATACAAACAGAGAGAGAGAACGTCTTGGTCTAATGATATGGAAGGTTATAAAATTAATACTCTGGCCTAAACAAGCATAAATTGCAGCAATATGTTACTTGTATATTTGCATAATGCATACCATTTGAATTAAACAAGTCCTAATGAAACAGTAATTTCAATTATGCTGTAATGAAACCATGTATTGAGTTCATATAACAACATTACATCCAGTATTCCCATTCTAGTTTTCATGTTTCTTAATATTCAATTAACAGTTTTAACAAAAGGGGAACAACTCATGCACACACACACACACACACACACACAATTTCAGCCTGAATCAATCCTCTGCAGGATGAAACCCTCTTCCTTGAAGTTTTTGGACCGAATGCACCACACTGGTCCAGAATATGTTGGTAGAAAGATTTTTTGCTTGTTTATTCGCTTTTACTTTCTAGTCTGCGGCTGAATTACTGGCGCTCTCTCTCTCTCTCTCTTCTTTCATTTTTTCCCAGATTTAACATGCTGCAGCTTAAGATACGCTTTACAGACTGGCTTAAGGCATTCTTCTGAGAATACTGCATTGCCAGAGAAATGTTATTCCTTATCAAGAAATATTTACAATTTTACAGTTTCATATTTTATTCTTCTTCTTAGTACCTAGCCTGTAAGTATTGTATAATTTGCTTCACTTAATAGAGTTTTAAATCAAAATCTCAGCATTTCAATACTGTGTTTGCTATTCTACCCATAAGGATGGAAGTTTATAAAGCTAGGTTTACCTGTATGTTTCACTTTGCTAGATTCATTTTTGATTTGCTGGTTCATTTGGGGGTGCCTGTGTTGCACAACACGTATGCACTCAAACACACCTTCAACATTTTAAACTAATTTGCTTTGTGGAAGTGTTAGATTTTCCATTGGATGCATTATCCATTACATAATATCTACATTGCATCCAATGTAATTATGGATTGGTATGGTACAGATATGGTTTTACTGTAATATGGAACCTATACATTGTATGCAATGCAAATATTTATCCATAGATCCTGGTGGCCTATATTTTGAGCGTACTCTAGAAGTACATTGATCCACTTGTGTGTCTTTGGGGTAAGGAAAAGTAACGGACAGGCACAATCTACTATGTGGCCCCCAGAATGTTTAGTTCAATACAGATAAGAAAGAAACTGGCTAAATCTTTCTGACCTAAATTCCAGGCCAATTTCCAAATCAACACATGTTGGCTCTCATGTTTGAAAGGCGAAATCTTCCATGGGGAGAGAAAGTAAGTATTATGGATATGACGGGCGTGCTGAGGATTCATTAGTTGTTGGAGACAGAATTCAACATTTTGAGGTTCATCTGTGGTCTCATTTGGAGAGAGCAAAATAAATCCAGATAGACTCAGCTTATGTCTCCGTAAATCAGCAATGGCTCAAAGAAACCGTGCTGCCAATTTTTGACCAGAAAAATGACGGTGGATGGGAGTTCATCTTTGGAGAGGCTCTACCCATGACACAGAAGAAGTCAGAAATGAGGGGGAAAGATGAACAGACATTCAGCATGTCTTTTGTTTCCTTTAATGGAGTTTGATCTTCACACAAGCAATTTCAACATTAACAATGGTTTGTCACATTTCTTGAAGTTCAAATTCAAATATAAATACTGCATTTTCACCTGGCTGAATATCTTCTATTAAAGCTAAATCAAAGCAATTGGAAGTAGTAACCACACCAAGTTAAATGGAGCTGATATGCCCAAATAATTATACACTGAACTGCAGTCACATCTGGAAATATCAGTTTCAACATTTTATTTGTTGTTCCTTCAGTTTTAACACATCTATTTTAATCAATATGTTAGATGCTTTGAGAATAGAAAGGAGAAAAGCTGAAGGACAGATATATAATATTTCTGACCACTGACTCTCTTGGGAGAGATGGCTGTATGAATGATCAGTATGAGTTTTTGGCCTTAAAAATTTATCAGTACGACACTGATTAACCCATTTTCTCAAGGATCAATACTAGTGTGTACAGAAGTAACAGTCTGAGTTTCCAAGTTATCCTGTGTAATGTTTTCTTATGTTATTTAGTGTCCTAGGAAAGAAGAATAGAATTTTAAATTTATGGTTACTGACCAGAATTGAGTCCTAGGAAAGAATAAACATTCCTCTGGCTTCAGCATCACAACAATAACACAAGAAACAAATCTGAGTAGATTTAAGTCCAACAGCATTTTAAAAACCATGGAGGAGACAGGGAGCTGTCTTTATCGATCAACAGGATGAAGTAATGCAGAGTATGGTAAAATAAAGTCAGGATGATGACCACAGTAGTGCAATCAAAGCTCTGCCTGCTTTTTATGCGTGTCACATATATGATGCACATTAAAAGAGGCAGATCTTCAACGGCACCACGAGGGCCATCACCCTGCCTTTTTGATCATACCCTAAGGGCCCCCCGAAGTAACACATTCCCATTTGGAATCTGATCCTTAGCCACCAAGCTATATTAGTTATAACTATGAACTTCTTCAATTCTTTTCCAGTTTCATTCCCCATTCTTCCTACAAACACAAATTTAAGATAAACTAAACACAGAATCATCCAACTTTAGAGACAGGGGAAAAAAATACTGGTACATACCCCCCCCCCCCCCCCCCCCCCCCCCC